TTCAATGGTGTTTGGCATTTTTTTTTCCTTGGCTGTTTATTGAGTTCTTCTGTTGCAGACATTGAAAGAGGATGCAAATGGAGCTTCTCCTGCTGCTGATCCACAAATTCCAAATCCCGTTGCAACCTCAGCAAAGGCTCCACAGTTAACCCAGTACTGAGTTACGTTACACTCGCCTCGTTCAGTTGGGATCAAGATAACGATAAAGTCAAGGTAAGAAATTTCGATGTTCTTAAAGATTTAGAACATTTTCATCGGCAGTGTAAAATATCAAATCCCCAACGTTGCAACCTGAAAAGACAAATTATCCATTTGACTTATTGAACCCAAAACCTTGGTCTGGTTATTAATTTCATCTTCTATTTTACGAAATTTGAGAAGTTTGTCACTTTGATTTAATTTGTTGGAATTTGGTCATCCTAGTTTATGAAAACTGAGAAGTTAATATAATATGAAGATTAGTAGTAGTTCAGTAATTTATCTGCACGGATTAGCTAAACTCGATAGTTTAACAATTTATATGCAACTAATTAGTAAAAATCGGTAGTTCTAGATCATGTGTTTAGCAAGAAATGAAATTAACTTCTCGGTTTTCAGTTTTAATACAGTACAAAGGTCAAATTCAGACAAATTCAAGTAGAGATATCAACTTATTAAATTCTTGACACCATAAAAAGATGTAATACATCCTAAGTGAATGGAATTGTTATTTTAAAACAAATTTGAAGTTTAAAACTGAAACTACATTGAGCTTTGATTCTCTTGAGCTCGTATTGATAACAATTAACACCCTTAGCAGCTTCTTAGATTTCTCTTCAAAATTGTGATTGCAGTAATTATTTTGTATTATCATTGCATTCTCAGCCTTTTTGTTTTTTTCTTTTTCTTTTTTTGCTGATCCTGTGTTTGTACAACAGATATATGTCTCTTTGGAAGGAGTCGAACAGGAGAAAATCCAGGCAGATTTCAAGCCGACGTCTTTTGATGTTAACGTTAAAGGCAAATCCTATAGGTGTGCTATCCCAAAATTGAACAAGGAAATCGAACTAGAGAAGTGCAAGGTGATAGTTAAGCCCACAAGAGTCATCATCACATTGTTCAAAGCTTCTAAAGGCAACTAGTCTGATCTACACTACAAGGAGGACAAGGTAATTTCCTAGATTATCGTAAGATTACTTTCCATGTTTTTTTGCCACTAAACTACACTAATAATATTTTTCTTTTTCACACAGCTGAAGCCAAATTTGGATAACAAGCGAGATCCCATGGCCGGAATCATGGATTTAATGAAGGTAAAGTTTATTCCATGATTTATTCATGGCATGTGTTTTATTGACAAATTTCCAATGTCTAAATTACTGCCGGTTTGTGTAAATTGCAGAATATGTACGAGGAAGGGGATGAGGATATGAAAAGAACAATTGCCAAAGCATGAACTGATGCAAGATCTGGCAGGACTGGTGATTCTTTGAAGGGTTTTCGTTGAATTCCGTATGGAAATGGGTATTTTTGGGGTGGTTTTTAGCACAATGGTCTTTTCCATACTTTTTGTGGTATCTTGTCATCTTGAAGTTGCAGGAAACTTGTTTCTGGATATTTTTTTTATCTTGGTGTGAAGAATCATTGAAATTTGGAAATAGTTGATACTTTCTCCATGTTTAAACTAGTGTTTCTTGACGTTTTATTTGTGAAAATATTCTAGGTTCCATAAACAAAACTCACTCTAACTAGGCATCGATAAGAAACCTGAGGAACTTGATTAGAAAATCTGGAAAATTGCAACTAACAATTAGAGTGACATCCATGGTGGCTAGAAGCCATCATTAAATTATTTGATTGCCATGGTCTGCATAGCTGTCATCATTCGAGTATTTGACTGCCATAGTCTGCATTGAACTTCTCATAACGATGAACATATAAACGAGCAGATGGTCTCGTGTTCTTCAAAGCAGCCTCTATATCATCGGGGGTAATTGACCCATCCTTTGGCAGCTCTGCAAATCGAAAACTAGCTGTTGAGTTGTTCATTATAAATGAAATCAAAGATCTCTTTGTTTCTTCGATCCATCTTTGTTTATAGAGAATTGTAGTTCGGTATAAGATGCATACCATGGTCGGACACTGCTTCTGAGCTATTCTCAAGATCTCTCATTAAACATCTCAATGGTTGCATGGCAGCTTCTTTGCAGACTAATCGAATATCTGAACCCGGATAACCATCTGATCTTTCCACTAACGTATCATAAGGAAGACCCTCCTCACCATTGTCTCCAGGTAGAGGTGTTTCAAACATTCTCGCTTCTGGTTCTGGGAGGGGAACAAGGATATTTTTTCAACGTGGTTAAAGGATGACATTGCTTGCAGTTCGTAATGATTTTTGGGTTATTTGGGTAAATGATGCTAGCAATCTTAATATCAAGCGAGAGAAATAACACGTAGAAAAGCCTAACCGGTTCATAGACAGTCGATGGATACACGCTTCTCCAGACGACGGAGCATGGCTGCATCCAATTCCCAAGGCAGGTTTGTTGCTGCCAAAACAAACACGAGTTCATCTGACCGCGTCAAACCATCCATCTGTGATTTAATATACATATCAATTTTTGGAGAAAGTACAGTTGATATATAAAATGCTTGTAGTTTATTCTCCTGATGGGTTATATCATCTGATTCTAGAGTGTAAGATATTTAACTAATAAATCAGTGAAGAATGTATCTAAATAATATGCATGAACTATAAATTGTCACGTGATAGGACGCATCTTGAGAAACAAATATCACCTGTATAAGTAGCTCAGTCTTCAATCGCCTACTTGCTTCATGCTCACTGTTCCCTTCGCCGCCACGCTGACTTATGATGGCATCAATCTCGTCAAGAAATATTGTAGACGGGGCATGGTGCCTAGCAAGGTCGAATAGTATTTTATTAACTTCTCAGAATCACCTGAAATGTTATAAACCCCGTTGTTAGATAACCGAGTGATATTTCTAAGAACCTCTATGGTGGTGTTCAGACAGGTCCTTTGATTCATATTGACATCAAGATCTCTTTTTCATAGAGGATTGATGCCGTTATCTTAAATAAGCTTATCAAAGAATTTTATCAGTGATGTTTTTTCTTCTGCTGCTAAGTAAGAGATGCGAACGGAACAGAATATAAAATGATCCCAGTCAAAGATGAAATTACTATTGATTAGAATAATATCTTGCCGTTCTCCATTTTAGAGACTTCATAAGTTTCATGCCTAGGACCAATAAGATCTTGGAAATCACATGCTTAACATACCACGCCATTTGCTGACTACAGATGATGCTGAAATATTGAAAAATGTCGTCTTGCATTCTGTTGCAACAGCCTTTGCTAGCATTGTCTGCAACCAAAATGGTGTTCCAATAGAAGCTAGCATCAATACACACTACTACGATATAGCGAACAATATACGCAGAAGCATAATTCTTTTTCAATGCTGAAGAAATTGTGACCCACTGTCAATCTAAGTTTACAAAATGATCATGAAAGATACGGTTTTTTATTTCATATTAACCAAATATCTTGCATATCTACTGCATTATGAAGATGGCTTGTATAAAACATCTATTTGATGGAAACAATTGAGGAAAATACAGACCTTTCCCGTCCCCGGGGGGCCAAAAAGGAGAATACCCTTCCATGGTTAAAGAAGACCCGTAAAGTACCTACAGCGAATCATATCAGTTTTGAAATGAAAGCTTCAAAGTCCATAACATATTATTGAATGCTTCACCGACATTTACAAAACCAAATTCGCAAAACATAAGCCCCCCATGGTGCTTTACACAATATTTCCATTGATCTCAACTTTTAAGTATGGGAGAGGGAAGCAGCAGATGAACAGATATTATAAACATCTATATCATTTTGAAGGAACGTTCGAATCTCTTTGTAATATACTCCGTCCACTTTTAAAAGAACTAACTTATAGAAGATTTAAGCTCCCACAAATCACAAATCTGCTTTTCTTTTCAACCAAGATAGGAAAATAAAAGAGTGTTTGACAAACATATCCCATGCACTGTTGAGAGTAGTTGCTTTGGAATCTTATCAGCTTGATAACATTGTAGAGAACTGAAGTTGCTTCCCTTTCTAGTTCTATAAAGTTCAGTGCCAAATGTAGGATCCTGGAATTGGTATGCAGGACATATATACATACCATCTCTACTTTCTAATTTTCACATGAAAAATCTATACTCGGTCAAGTAAACACATGGCCCACTTTATTCACTTCATACGATAAAATGAAACTTTAGTTTTAGGGAAAACTGCACAAGAGTCAGTTCCATTACAACACTGACAAAAATTTCAAGAAATGCCAGATTATTGTAGATTCAGAAACATAAGCTAGCAGTCAAGTGAAAAAAATGTGTACACCCCACAATCATTTTCAAGTAAAAAGACTGGTCGCAGACTGTGCACAGAATCCATGATCTGGGCACAGAAATACTTACTTGGGATATTTTATTGGCATAACAACTGCTTCTTAAGCAATCGTTTGGCGTTCTCTAATCCCTTGATGTTTTCCCACTTCACATCAGGACTCCCACGAACAATGTCCCTAAAAGAGGATTATGTAAGATGATATGTACTAGAGAAAACTTCAAGCTATAATGTTAAACAATAGACCGATAGCTAAAACTTCGTTTCTATCGCCAGTGAAGATACTGGTTATCTGCTCAAACTCTCCCCTAAGGCACGCATTTCTGCAGTTTCAAAATCAGGAAGAAGAGGCCTTTGCCTATACATATAAAGGAAAAGGAAACATCAAAATCATCATTTTATAAAGAACTGGAGAATTCAATATTCTTTCTCCGTAACCATTAGGATTCAACTTCAAACACAAGAACATTAATCCGAGTAATCAATGTTGAGAATTATATATATAAAAGCAAGTTGAAATAAACAAATCTATTGAGTAGCAAATCAGAATGAGTAATGAACATACAGTCTTGAATCAAATCCGTTTGACACCACACCATTGGAAAGCACCTGGTTCGTATTCTGAAGACGAAACAACAACAATAATAAATCATTACAATCAAGAAATACAAAAAAATTGTTAAAAAAGGATTTGAAAGGCTAAAAAATATACCTGCTTTTGGTACTGCTCGTAAATAGCCATATCAGACGAGTTCTTAGCAGAATGATTTCCATTTGAGGTCACAGTGACATTGGAGACGGTCGCATCAGCAGCTTGATCGTCCTGTGGCTCAGTTAATCTCCTCCACCCAAACTACGCATCATAAAACATTTCAAAATCCAATAAATAAATCATATTATGTCTCCATAATCAGTGTTAAACATTTTTCCCTTTCTCTTCTTAACATCGCTTCATACAGATAGATCACAGTTCACAAATCCAAAGAGCATAAACAAAACGAAAGAACAACAAATCATTAAATCCAATGCAGTTTAAGATAAATAAATGAGCTTAAATTTTAAAGTCAATCGAAGTAAGTCAAGTAAACTTCATGTAGGTCAGTTTAGCGAAACGAAATGACAAAAACACACACACACGCACAAACACAACGAATTTTGGAAGTCTTTTAGCTTTCTTTGCTAACAGTATCGGGCGAACAAAAGAGAAAAACCAAAGGGAGAGAGCGAGTACCAGAAAGGACCAGCGAGAGAGAGAAGATTCGTCGGCCATTGTTTGACTTAAAATGAAGGTGTTTTCCTTTGGAGAGAAAATGAGAGATTTGCGAGAAAATTTCCTCAGATCTTTTTTTCTCTTGAGTTGATAAACTACTAAAGAGTGTGCAGCGTGGAGTGCAGAAGAACAGGCTGCACAGAGCGCGTGCTTTTAAAACAAGTTCAATAATTATATATTTGGGGAACTTATATTATACATTAGCTGTCATGTTTCTCATTTTGGACTAAATTTTATTATAAGAGAAAAATTGGTAGGTTGTTATTAGGCCTGTAAACGAATCGAACGCACATGAACGGAGGTATGTTCATGTTCGTTCATTTAATAAATAGACGAACATAAACGGACACGAACATAAACGAACAAAATTTTTTTTTGTTCATGTTCGTTTATTAAGGAATATAATATGTTCATGTTCGTTCATTTAATAAATAAACGAACATAAACGAACACGAACATAAACGAACACGAACATAAATGAACACGAACATAAACGAACATAAACGTTGGAGACCCTACCTTCCATTGTTCTTTCATGAAAAATAGTCGACAATGCAAATAACCAAATCTACAGTGATAAATAGCGTAAGAGTTTATTAGCAGTGATGAAATGTTTGAAGATATTAAATATTTTAATCGATCTTTTAAAGATATTAAATGATTCACACAACTTTAATTTAACGCTATAACATTTATCTTAGTGGTCCATGATTACATATGAACAATCATTTTTCGCTATTACACTCTTTTCAGAAATTGCATAGAAACCTTTGTTTTGTTTTCTGGCAAATTCTATATATTTTTCTCTTTATTGATGTTCATATACTTCCGATTGTTACCTTTATCTTCCCATCTATTTATAGAAAGAAGTATGATGTTTTCTTGAGTTTTAAATGTGAAGATACCTGCAATAACTTTACATATCAACTATTAAGCCAAATAAAACAGAGAAAGAGATGAAAACATACCTGTAAAACTTCATATTGCACTATAATATAACTTGTTTTGAAGCTTTCAGCGATCGTCTCCACTCTCTAGTAAATACTAGGGTTTGGGGAAAAAGGGGGAAATGAATATAGGTGCGATGTGCCTCACAGGTTAACATATTGGATTTAATCTCCAAATAAAATTGGGTTAATTATGGAGTTGGTCATCAGAATATCAGATTAATTAATATTTTTAAGATACTTACAAATTGGTCACCAAAATTGATTTAAGAAGATTGAGTTAAACATAAATGAATGAACATAAACGAACATAATCGAACGAACATAAACAAACATAACCGAACGAACATAATCGAACGTTCACGAACGTAAATGAACGAACGAGACCTATGTTCATGTTCGTTCATTTAATTAAACGAACAAAAAATATTGTTCATGTTCGTTCATTTAATAAATAAACGCACATAAACGAACTTCCCGCCGCACGGTTCACGAACGGTTCGCTGAACGTTCAGTTCATTTACAGGCCTAGTTGTTATTTAAAAATAATAATTTTACTTGTTAATTTTTAGAGGCTCGTGTAATTATTAATACTAAATTAATAATAATTAGCTAATCCTATTCACATATGTAATTAGGTGAGGGGAGCAGGATAGTAGACTGCCCCCAACGCCAGATTGAGAGTAGTTTCCGTGAAAGATCTCCAACACTCAAAATTATGAATTGTCTATCGTGAGACTTGATCCCACGACCACAAGATTATAGTAAAGTTGATAGAATTGCATAGAAAAATAATAAAATAATGTATATATATATTTTATATACTAAATAAAGCTACTAGTTTTTTTAGCAATTCGAACATACTACCAAAAGCCTCTATAATAATTTGTATTAATATAGAAAGTTTTAACCCGTTCTGTTAGAAATTTACAAAAATATTCTTATTTATAAAGTGTAACAGATATTATTTTAAGGGTGTTATTATCTTTTCATTTTGTTAGAGTAAATTACGAGGGTGTTTGGCAAACAATTGATATTAAATAGTTGATACTGATTTCAGTAGTTGATTTGATCAACTGATTTGGTTAGTTAATTTGATAAATTGATTTGATTAATTGTTTATATAGAAGTGTTTGATAAAATTTAACTAATAGTTGATATGGTAAAATAATAAATAAGGATATATATATTTAGTTGTTAAGTACATATATGTTTTATAATACTTTAGTCTTTATTTGGGTGAAATTATTCGGATAAAATGATTTTGACAAGGAATTAAAAATTCCTTAAGAAAATTAGTGAATATTTTTTAACATTTTGAATATATTTTTAAACTTAATATTTACAAATATTAACATTGTGAGATTGATACATATTATTAACCTTGTATAAAATATCAACATTACATTTTTTTACTTTCATATTTTGCTATATTTTTTTAACTAAAATATATTTGTGAATCTACAACTAAAAATAGAATAATAAAAAAATCACTAATGCATCATTAGGCGTTGCATAAAATTCATTTTACACAAGTTCATTGAAAATAAATTTAGACTATATAAATATTCAAGAAAGAGATACATATCCAAATACAACAACAACAACAACAAAACCCTGATTTCATATGCAATGGGATAAGGGGGAGGTAGGGTAGTAGGCTGACCCCAACGCCAAGTTGAGAGCAGCTTCCGTGGAAGACTCCTGCAGTCAGAAAATTAAAAATAAAGATAAGATGCAAATACGTGTATAAATAAATAAATAAATACATAGATGAACAGTCTTCATATGCAGTCTTGATATGTGCGTCTATAATGGGGAGTAATCATTGTAAATAATTCCCTGCAAATAATTCCCTACATAGAAATCTCTGCATATAGACTGAAAATGTAAGACCCAGCTAAATTTAAAAAGAGGAAACATGAATAGAAATGATACACAGAAGTCAATAATAGCAAGCTACGAGAAGGAATAAATTCAAATGAGTTAATTCTTAAACTAAGGTAACACTACTCCGATACCCTAGTTCTAAGCCTTCATACATTTCAATGACAGAAACATGTATACAGTAGAAGTCATGGAAAGTACTACAAAGACATTAAAAAGAAGACAGAGATGTTACACCCTATGGCTGTGAACCGCACTACTCCACTACCCTGGTCTTAAGTTTCCATACTTTCCTATCAGAGGTCATATCCAAATAATTACAAACAAATAGGAATATTTAAGAAACATGATATAATTGTCTAACAGTCATTAAACTCATAGTGATGTCATCACGTACTTTTGTCATTTATTTAGTACTCATACGCTCAACTTCTTGCTGAACGTGCTTCAACATTCATTAACTTCATATCTTTATGCTCCTTTCAGTAACAACTTGAATCATAGAATCGAGTTTCTCCATTAATAGTGTTGATCCTCCAATTCTCCTAGAAGATTCAACCTTAGGACTCTAATACTTCCAAAAACATCATTTTCAGAGGCTCATCTGCTTCCTCTTCTTTCAACTTCTTGTTCATTAAAATTGGGAAAAGATGAAGGAATTGAGCTAGAATCACTACAAATTTCTTGTCATTTCATATTAACTTGAGTATGATTTACGACATTACTTTCACTCCACACGTCATCATAATCAGAAACAACACTATCAATGTTATAATTTAAAGGAGAAGTGACATATATTTTCTATTTTCTTTTCATGCTCAGCAGGAGTAAACTTAAGAACCCCTTGTGCAACTGAAACCCCGAACATTTGTTCTATCTTATTTTTCAGTTCGGATTCAATCCCTTCATCTTGAAATGCTTTAAAATGTGTGTTTTCCTATAAAGCAAAATAAATAAAATCAATTCTAAGAATTTAAACAAGTGTAGATAAATATACTAACCTCAATTTTCTTCGTCCACCACTCCTCACTAGCGCTTATTGTTCCATTTTCAGGACCCCAACCTAATCCCGTTTCCTTTCCTTTCAAGGCTTTCCAAAGACTATCTATTCTTTATCCAATTCCACTTGTTCTTAAGCTTAGCCTTCTCTTTTTTGAAATTGCAACTCTATCATCTTCCATGGCACTCTTTGTGAGATCGTAACACCACTTTTTCCCTTACTTCTTTCAGCATATTGAATACACAAATCACAAAATATGTGTATATTTTCTTTTGACCAACTAGCCCTACTTACATCTTTCCCCCCGCTTTCACTTTCTTCATTGTTCTTTTTTTTCCTTGGTGCCATATAAGTAGTATATAACATAATTAAAAATTTCCTCTTAAAAATTTTGAAGCAAAAACACTAACATTTCCAATAATCATTGTGCTCGGATAACATTCCAATCCATTATTACTTATAATAATACATATCAAACAACACATAATGTAATATCGTTAGTTCTACATGAGACAAGAAAATGTAATTTGGTGTACATATTAGAGACAAATGACAATACAATGATGTGATGCATATAGCATCAAAACAAGCATTTAAACAAGTAGGTAACAAATACTATAGAGATTGAAAATTAACCTCAAATCTTAATCTGTAATCTCAATTAGGAGTGCTTCTCTTCTTTTATCATGCAAATATTTCCTATACAAAATCACATCACCAAATATAAAAAAAATTTGATTAATGATAGGAGGTAGATATGGGTGCCAAATAATCATAAATAACAGGATCATTTGCGGAGAAAATAACCAAGAGTTGAATTTAACCAAAAAAAAAGTTAACTAAAGGGAGGAAATTATTTAACTCGAGGGAAAATCGACTACAAAGACAAAAAAAGTTACATTTATAGAGACCAAAAGTTCAAATTACATGGATAAAAATGATGAAATACACAGAAAGAAATGAAGGAATAAGAAACGATTCACATTTGTTTTTAGTAAATAGATTTTTTTGTTCAGTAAATTGATTTTTCCGGGTAAAATTCCACAAGGAAAAACAAGTCACTTGTCGTTACCATTGATCTTTTAATTTTGTCAATCAGACCACTAAAATATTTAATTATTCTCAATCAAGTCACTTGCCGTTAACAGTTAATCGATTAGGTGATGTGGCGGTTAAATATTTTAGTATAATCACATATTTGATTCTTG